GTGTAGGAGAATTCTGTGTTGTTTTTTTTTAAGCAAGAAGTTTATGGTATCTTTTTCATATAAAACTTTAAAATTGGAACATTATCCAATATAGCAATCTTTTTCTTTATGGTTGGTAGTTTTGGGGATTTATGAAATCCTTCATCACTTGGTTCTTCATGTTGTGATTCTTCTATTTGAAATTTCTCCTGAGAGGATTATTAGATATTTTTTTCCAGAAAGATCTTTTCTTTTTCCCACAGTGGCTCACAGACAAGGTACACTTAACTTACTGTATCTGATAATACAGCATTTGTTGTCATTACAGAATAATGTGATATGAAATTGAGGGTAAGAGCTCAAAATCCTTGGTTAGGAAAATTACATTTCACGTAATTGAAATTCTCTGAATTCTTGTTTTTCAACTGAGTTCAGAAAGGAGTTGAACAATGCTTTACAACAAAGCTCAGCAAACATTTTTTCTATAAAGGACTAAGTAGTAAATATTTTAGACTGTGCAGACCATAGGTCTCTGTCCCATCTACTCAGCTCTGTTGTTTTCATGCAAAAGCAGTTGCTTTTGGAAGTATATAAATGAGTGGGGCGCCTGGGTGGCTCAGTCGTTAAGTGTCTGCCTTCAGCTCAGGTCATGATCCCGGGATCCTGGGATCGAGCCCCACATCAGGCTCCCTTCTCCGCGGGAAGCCTGCTTCTCCCTCTCCCACTCCCCCTGCTTGTGTTCCCTCTCTCGCTCTCTCTCTCTCAAATAAATAAAATCTTTAAAAAAAAAAAAAGAGTATATAAATGAGTGTGGCTATGTTCCAATAAAACTTTATTTATAGACACAGAAATTTGAACTTCATATAATTCTTATGTGACACAAAATAATATTCTCTTTTGACCTTTCCTGAACATTAAAAAATATATATAAAAACCAAGTTTTGCTTATGGGCCATAGAAGAAGAGGCAGAGAGCCAGATTTGACCCATAAACCGTGGTGTGCCAACCCCTGATTTAGAATACAATCCTCCTGACATCAGTGTAAGGAAACTGGGTAATGTCATCCTCCCCATTTTGCACAGTAGAGCATTAGAACCCCAAAGACTTTAGATAGAATTCATCCAGTTTAGTTTCCCTCTCTTCCCTTTTACAGTTGAGGAGGTTTTGGTGCAGAGAGAGAAAAATCACTGGCCTCAGGGCACGTAGCTAGCGAGTGACAAGGCCAGGCTGAAGCTCAGGTATCTCCATTTAAGTCCTACCTACCTTCCTCAATTCCAAAAGCTAAAACTTAAAACTAGATCCACAGCCACAAAATCCTTCTGCCACTTCTCAACAGCAGTTAAGCTTTTTTTTTTTATCCCAAAGGAATTTATTCTAATAAACACCTTAAAATTAAGGACTTACCAAGCTCCAGCCCTAGTATTTAATTTGTATCATTAAAACCTATACAATGCAATTAACAGTGACAACTGAATTAGAAGTTTTGATTAGGGAGATGACATGATGATATCTGTGGGAAAATTATACAGAGAATTAAAACTGGTTAAATTCTAAAATACCATTAAGACACCCAAATTCTGAATAGCCTATGGAAGTTGTCCAAAGCAAATTTTATTCCAGAATTTCAAAAAGGAATGGCAGTTCAGCTCTAAGTAACAGAGGAATAGCCTCCGCAGATTAGACTGAGGCCATGGGGGATTGGCCAGGATGGGGGGGGGGGGCGGATCTAGGCCAGAGATTAGGGCCCTCATTTCAGTGAACATCTGGAACCAAGCTCCAAGCCAGAAGAGTCCTTGTCTCTGGTTCAAAGCAGTGTCCCCTCCAGACTAGAGCCTGGGATACACTGGGGATTAGTAAATGATGGCTGAAAGATCAAAATCAGTCTGCAAAGAGTGATTCCTGGGAACTGACCTCTGAATTTTTAGGGTACGTATTCCAGCAGCTTTGGGATGCTTCTTTTTACACAAAGTTTTGTAAAAAACTTTGAGGGATTCCTCCCCACCAGGAGCCCCGTCAGAAGGTGGTCACCTTCATCCCCTGGATGACTGTCTTCTCATCTGCTCTTTGCCTGTTGCTTAGGTCTAGAATTATCCATTCGGGATGTAATGAATGCATTGAAAGTATTGCCCTCTAAACTCTTAAACAATTGGAAATTCAACGGTGGCAACCAATGTTTATGAATGAGTCGGAAGTGTTCAAAGTGCAGACATTTATAAAAAAAAGTCCTAGGAATAAGAAATTCCCAGAATAATTTATTACCAGCGCATTTCAATTTTCTTTGGAAGTTCTAATTCTCAGCAAACATTAATCAAGTCATCCCACTATCTTTCAGGTTGTTTCCCCCATTTCACAGAGAGCGACTGAACCGAAATTAAATGACTTGTTACCAAGGTCACATGGAGAATATAAATCTAAATAATTCATGATTTCAGCCCTCTCTCCTGCCCTTTGTTAGACTAAACGGAGGGGGATTTCCACTGGCTTCCTAGGCGACCGACGGTGTATTTGCTGCTCTCTGCTACCCCCTGTTGATATAATAAGCAAAGAGCGGATCTCAAGACCAGTATTTCTCAGGTCGTGGACCAGCAGTATCCGCATCACCTGGGATTTGGTAAAAAATCCAGATTATGGGGCCCCACCCCAGAACACTGGATTAGAAACTCTGGGGGTGGGGCTCAGCCGACCTGTAACAAGCTACAAGTGATTCTGCTGTAACCTGATATTACATTTCTGCTTTAGGAACTAACGTCCTGGCCTCCTAATCCTCATGAAAATGATAATGCCTCTTCACCTTGCTCGTGTCCTTGGGCCTCACATGGAGAATATACCACTCTTGCCATATACAAAGTGCTGTCATGTCCATTCGTTCTTTCAGGTGGACTGGTAGCAGCCCCGTGAAGTACGCTAGGGAAGGATTGCATATCCACTTTACAGATGAGGAGACTAGAGCTCAGGAAAGGCCAAAAAACTTGCCCAGGGCTACTCAGCTTCAAATGGCAGGGCAGGATTCAAATCCAAACCTTCTATCTTCACATCCATATTCTGGACCTCTTCACTTAGTCCACAACAGGGTTTCTGACATGTGGGGCCACATAACATGGGGTGCTTAGTTGTGGGGTACTGTTCTGTAGACTGTAGACTATTCAGCAGCTTCCCTGGCCTCTACCCATTAGATACCAGCAGGACCCCCACCCTAATTATGACAACCAAAAACGTCTCCTAATATTGCCAGTGCCCCCAAGGGGCACAGTAATCTGTGTTGAGAACCTCTGACCTACAGCCAGCACGTAATTAGAGAGAAATTTCAACAATCTGTTTTTGGCAAATGTTGTACTCTTTGGAGATGATTTCAGAAAAAAATAGCTTATTTTCCTGAGGCCAGCGGGAAGCCTGCTTCTTCCTCTCCTCCAGGACATCTACGAAGTGAAAGAACTAGACTAAATGTTGGTGTCCGGACACCAACTGCTTAAGAAAATCTTGACTACTCCTTAAGAAAATTAACAATTTCATCATATCATCTAGTATCCAGTGTGTATGCAAATTTCCCTCAGTTGTCACAAGAATACCTCTCATAGTGGTTTTTGTTTTTTAATGCTAACATGCAATCTAGATTCCTAAATTACTTTTGATTGCTGTGTCTCTTTGGTCTTTTTTAGTTCAGAACATTGGTCAACAAACTATGACCCACGGGCCAAATCTGGCCCACTACCTGCCTTTGTAAATATGCTCTGCTGGAACACAGCATGCTCTTTCATTTACATATATGGCTACCAGAGCAGAGGTGAGTAGTTACCATAGAAACTGTATGGCCCATGAAGCCTAAAGTATTGACTCCCTAGCCCATTACAGAAAAAGTGTGCTGATCTCTGACCTAGAACTCTCCTCTTGCCTTTATTTTTAATATAATACTGACTGTTCAAAGAGTCCAGAACACTTGCTCACAGAAACTCCTTTTTTTTAGATCGATCTGATTAATATACATTTATGTATTACATTTATTGAAATTCAACATACTATATATATTTCAAAATATAAAATACTTATGAAATTATCAGTGCTCCACGGGGCAGTGCTAAACAACTTTTTATGTGTCCAAACTATAAACGCAATAGAAAGGCAAACAATAGGGGTGCCTGGTTGGCTCAGTCGTTAAGCGTCTGCCTTCGGCTCAGGTCACGATCCCAGGATCCTGGGATCGAGCCCCGCATCGGACTCCCTGCTCCGCGGAAAGCCTGCTTCTCCCTCTCCCACTCCCCCTGCTTGTGTTCCCTCTCTTGCTGTGTCTCTGTCAAATAAATAAATAAAATCTTTAAGAAAAAAAAAAAAGAAAGGCGAACAATAAATTGGAAAAATAATCACAATTCCAAGATCTTATCTCTTTTCGTACTTTATTTTTCAGGAAGGAGGGAAAAAAGCATGTCCTGTCTGACATCTGGTAGAGAGTTTTAATTACAAATGGAAGTAAAATCCTTACTGATCAAGTCCATATATCATTCAAGTAGAGAAACCAGTAGGAAAAGCAGGGGCCTCCTTCTTTGGAAAATCATAATATATAATTTCAAATACGTGCACTGAGCGTACAGAAATTGATATATATATATACAAGACTGTGAGCACTCTGATTGTAGGGCCAGGTACCTAGCAAGCATGCCTGATACACAGAAAGTACTCAATAGAGGTCTACAGAATAAATGAATGATCAGCATTCCTTTACACAGCTGGGCATGGCAGGTGTCAGGAAAATATTCACATCCATGTATTAGATTAGTATATACATTTTTGTTTTAGTGTAAGAGGCATGCACATCATACTAAATGTTTGGCCCATTACTGTTTTGCTAGGAGCTCGTGCATGTTCATTGAAGTAGTATTCAGTTAGCTCGGAACACGGATAGCTAGAAAGCGTCCGGCCTCTCCTTCCAGTGAACCGAGGCCAGACTCTAAGGGATAGCACCTTCTCCCCCTACTCTTTGGACATAGCGTGTCTACCCCACTGATCACCTAAGACATTATAAGTGAAACATAAATCATAATGAAAGAAAGCAGTGCTAACTGGTTTTATCAGTTCTATAACACGGCTGAGGCCGCGCACAGTGTGATTCTTCTCCACTTCTCTAAGATGTCATTTAGCCTATAAAAAAACCCTTTGGACCTCCCTAAGCCCCAGTAGAGAGTTTAACAATAATCTTTAGGAACAGAAGTTAATAGTCATCAACTCTGGCATAGCTCACCTGAGGAGTGAGCTGTTGGTCAGAAAGAAAGCTGAAGATTTAAACAGTTCCCGGCTGGTGTTTGAGCAATGGATCTTGTTCCTGGTTCCCAGGGCAGAACAGGGCCTTTGCGTGGTTAAGGAAGACATTCAGGCCTTTGCCTTTGATCATGATCCCAGTACCGTTTCCTATCAGGTATTTGTATTCCTTGTGTTTTCTGAAAACAATGTGTTAGACAGATTAAAAAAAAAAAACATCTACAGCTGGAATATGTTGCTATAATCTCTTCCATGCCAAGTACAAAAGGGTTAATTCCATTTAACCCAAACCACAGCTTTTAAGACATTGATGTCTAATCAAAGTATAGTTATTTTCCCTTCTTCATGCAAGAAATGTGCCTGCCTACTATAATTTGTGATTACATGTTAAACACTAAGCTGACACAATTTTGTAAAGTTACAATGTCTGGTAGCATTTTTAGGATTAAAAAAAAAAACAACCCACAGCAAAATTAACAGTCTTGTTTGGTATTCATTCAATGTTAGATCTTTCTCCCCTACACAGACGGTTTAAAAGCAAAAAAGGGAAAATGGCCCATTTATGCAGAAATATGTAATGTATTTTGGACAATATACTATAGCGATTTAAAGTGTTAAAAGCAGCAACTTACTTGTATACCAAAAGGGTGATCACAGTGACAAATATGGCTAAGCAGCCAACGGAGACCAGGGCACCATTTGCCATGCTTGAAGGGGAAGCTGGGTCTTAAAACAGAAGCAAGACGGTATTAGCGACGTCTTCCGCCTAGTGGACATGCTACTTGTAATGCAATTAAATAAATGAGGAAGGGAGCTATCAGAAGATATATGGCTCCCTCTGGGTTTTCAGTAATCTTTTCCATTAAATAATACATAGTCTTTGGGTCAGCTTATCTTCCATTTAGAGAATGAGTTAGCATGTCTGGAACACCGCGTTAAGGGCTCAGAAGAGAGATGTCATGTCCTGGAGACACCTGCTCAGGTCTCAGCTGACCCAACAGCACCCACATGGTGAAGGGCTCCATGACCCTCCTGGCCGCTCCTTTGGCCCCATCTCCCACTATCCAGCTGTGCTAAAAGTCCTGGGAGTGGCCTATCCTCCCCCCTGCTCTTTCAAATCTCCATGCCCTCTGCCAGGAACATCCTTCCCCTGGCTCATTTCAAGTGTTCACCCCTTTGGGGTGCCTTCCGGACATTCACAAGGGCACCGGGTCACCACACCTGCCTGTGTCACTCCTCTACTTGCCTCTCTTCCTCTGCCTCAATCACGCTGTGTTCCAAGTACTGCTTTATACATGTTTCTCTCCTCCCAGACTGTGGGAACCACAAAGCAGGGATTATATCTTCTCTGTATTCCCGGAAACCAGCAAATTAACTTGTCTCGTCACTACTGCCAAAGTGTAACTGGGATTTATCTCTTTTTTCTCCATCCCCTCTGCCACCACTGCAGTCCCAGCCATCAGCCTTCTCCCCCTGAGAGGACATCTTGTCTACCTGCTTCCACTCTCATCTTCCCATGATCTTTAAAAGCATCAATCAGATCATGCTTTAAACCTGCCGGAGGATCCCCTTATACACAGAATAAAACTCAAGCCCTACCAGTGGTCTACAACCATCTAAATGGACTGCTCATTCCTGAAAGTCAGGTTTCAGTTCAGAGCAGGCCCTTCACAAGCAGATGCTGCTGGGTGGGCAGGCCTGTCAGTGACCTCCCCAATCCGGACAGCCAACCTCTGTGCCCTCTCTCCCCCATGCTTGTCGCTGTCCGTGCCCGGACCTGGTTTTATTTTCTTCACAATGTCATCTTATGTATTGTCTCTTTCCACCCACAAAGGCAGGGAGGGATCTTCTTCATCTTGTTTCCCACTCTGTCTGGAACTGTGTATCTCATGCTCAATGAGTATTTGTTGAAAGAATTGCTGGTGCTTCACGAACGTTCATGGAATCAACGAATAAAAGTCATTTCTGGGGCGCCTGGGTGGCTCAGTCAGTTAAGCGACTGCCTTCGGTTCAGGTCATGATCCTGGAGTCCCAGGATCGAGTCCCACATCGGGCTCCCTGCTCTGCGGGGAGCCTGCTTCTCCCTCTTCCCCTCCCCCTGCTTGTGTTTCCTCTCTCGCTGTGTCTCTCTCTGTCAAATAAATAAATAAAATCTTTAAAAATAAAAAAAAAGTCATTTCTGCTGGAAGTCTATGGGTTTGCTTTTGACCAAAGATCTCTTTCTGAAATTCTGACTTTGAAACCCAAGCCATCAAGTTACAATCCCCCTGGATTAAAAGCTCGCTTTATGAGCTTCCTTTATTTGGATTTTGAAAATGGCTCAGGTCCCCTAAAGTTACCACTCACCACAAGAAGAATGAAAGGAAAGCCAATATCTAAACATCTAATCTAGATAAGAGAACAGTGGTTCACCAGCCCCAAGATAGCTTCGTAGAATAGGTTATGACCCTAAAAAGGCGGTTCTGACCCCCCCCCCCCCCCCCCCCCCGCCCCGGGCAGCCGAAGAGTAACCACAGCAGCTCCTGGAGGTGACAGCTCAGAAGACCCGCACTCACTTGGTCCAAGTGCCCCAGGCTGCCTCCTTCCGCCCCAGCCTCCCAGCTCCCCACCCTGGGCCTTGGAGGAAGCAGGGCACCTGTCTCCTTGTTTTGTTTTTAAATCTGTGCCTCAGATCTCACCAACTATAAGCCCTCACACACATAATTATATGTATGGTTACTTAAGCTTTTCTTTCAATGAGGTTAAAGCTGCCTTTTATACAGTTAATACGTAAATCTATGTTTTAGTACATTTTACCTTATGAGATAGGCTCCAAATCCAGAGGAGCTGTGAGTTAGTCATTAGGGTGAGCCTAACAATACTAAAATTAAGCAGCAAAATACGTGTTGTAATGTGTGCACAATTTAACCCCTCTTTCCCATTCCACCGCAAAGCGTTTCTTCTGAGAGAGAAAGCAGTATCTTCCAACAAGGTGGATTTAAGTGAAATTCAGCTAGGGTCACCAGGTGGAGTCCTAATTTGGTGACCGGGAAAGTTGGAAGCAAGCAGTAAATGACAATTTCTCAATGCGATTTCTTAGTCCACTAGCATTTCACCTCTCCAAGCACTAGGGGGGCAAAGAGTAGATTTACCGGTGAACATCTGAGGACTGGGCAAGTTGGTTTGTTACTGTTTCAGTGTAATGCTTGGTAGAATTTGGGAAGGGAAAGAGAGGACACATGGCAAATTAGAAAGGAGCCAGCAGTCCACCTGGTTTCTCATTTCTCTTCTTGGTTTCATGTCTTTGCCTAGGTGGATTCTAATGACAACAGGGTAGCAGTCTCCCCCTTTTTATAATTTAATTGGAGAACACTGTTATTTTTGGATGTTCGGCTTTATACTTTTCCCTTGACATATAAATCTCTTCGAGCACGCAGTAATCATATCCCATTATTACTGGTCCATGATCACAGCTGATTTTTTTTCATCAGAAGACTTATCTTTAGTCATTATTTCATTGGGTCTCTCTCTCTCATCCCTTCTCTAAGTAGATTTGCTACTGGACTTTAATGCCAGTTGTCCAATCCACATTAATGATAGTTCAATGATTTTTGCACTGAAATAAAGTTAAACATTGATAGTGAAGCCTTGAATGGCTTTAGTATAAGACACACACTGTCCCTGCAATATGAAATGTTCGTACAAGCATAAAACAAAACTTACCTCTTGCAGGGACAGAGACGAGGGTGCTCGTGAGGGCCAGGCTTCTATCATCACCCAGAGTGAGGTTCAGACAGTATGTCCCAGACCCCCTGAAGGCTCTTCTCACAGTCAGTAAGCACGAATCACCTGTGTTCACATCTACAGGGTCGCAGACCGTGTTGTAGGTGATCTGGCAGCTAGGGTCAGAAACTACGGTACAGACCTCTGTGGGCATGCTGAGGGGACAGATGGCATCCAGGGAGGGAGATGTAATATCAGTTTAAAAGGGACAATCATAATCATTACCTGTCCCTAAAATTGACTAGAGTTTCACTAGAATTAACTTGAATTCCACTTTATTCTATTATTCTTGCATCTGATAGAAGAGTATCAAACCATATGATGTCAAATTGTCACATATAACTTACTCTTCAACAAGCCTGGGTATGAGCTGCTGTTTCCCCTGTATCCTCAGAAAGGTGTGGCCCTGGGCGTGGAGGAGAAAGATATTACCACCACCAACAACAACCCCCCCGCCCCAAAGGCAAGGGGCTATTGGAAACTGTGTGAAGTCCAAGTCATTCCTCCACACCTGGGCTCCCTAGGATGTCTGCAGGTGTGGTCGGCTTAGGTGTGGGGCAAAGATCCTATCACATCCCAGAGCTGGCCCACCTGGGTCCCTGCAGAGGTCTAACAGTGACAGGAACAGTGGCTGTTTAGCCAGTATTTACTACGTGCAAGACATAAAGCTGTAGGTGTGTGACATGGTCTTGGTCTTGTCTATTCCTCTCAGTGACCCGATGAGGAAAGCAGGATTAGCCTAGTGTAGCAGGTGACAAGCCAGCTTGGGGAGGGGAGACAGCTAGCCCAAGGTCACACAAGCAGTTAGGGGTGGAGTTGGGACTTGAATAAAAGGTTTGACAACCACGAGGCGATGTGACCATGCATTACTGTGGTAGACACTGTTTCCCTTGTGAGTGGACCTCCTGGAGGGAGCGACCGTGCTGACGCTGGGTCTGGTGAGGTGGGGGTGGCATGCAGGACACACTGTCTTCTCAGCTGGCCTCGTTCCTCCATCAGGTTTTTCTCAATTTTCTCTCATCGTCACCCCTCTCCTCTCCCCAAGCTGGAGAGCTTCTTAGCTATCCCTTTTTATCAGATAAGGCCACATTTTTATACCATCTCATTCTCTTGATTAACTTATACATTTACACACATACATTTTAATTACTTAATTTATCTATTACACGTAAATTTGTGAATTTATATATTAACTTATATTTAGTCTATTATATTGTTCTAACCAAACCGTAAGAAGTCAAATTATGTAATGCAAGCTTTGTAGGGGCGCCTGGGTGACTCAGTTGTTAAGCGACTGCCTTTGGCTCAGGTCATGATCCTGGGGTCCTGGGATCAGCCCCGCATAGGGCTCCTTGCTCACTGGGGAGCCTTCTTCTCCCTCTCCCTCTGCCCACATTGTGCTTGCTCGCTCTCTCTCAGGCTCACTCTCTCTCTCTTTCAAATAAATAAAATCATTTAAAAAATTAAAAAATTAAAAAAGAAAACAAAAAAAAAAAGGAAGAAAAAGCTTTGTAAAGTTTAGAGAGAGAGGATTATTGGGCATTGATATTAATTCATGCGAGGACATGGCCATTCCACAGTGGCTTCCCACCACTTGGAGGGGCCTCAGGGAGCCTAAGAGCTGGGCTCTGAGCCAGACCACAGCCTGTGAACCATGCTCTGCAGGTACCCACCATCTATGGGGGCAAGTTCTGTAATCACTGCGTGCCTCAGGGGACCCATCGGTAAAATGAGGAGACTCAGGATTGGGTAAGGATTCAATAGGAGAACAGATGCAAGATGTTAAGAACATGGTAAGTATTCAATCAATAATTACTACTCAATTTCATCATCAGCTTAAAGGTAATGAGCACTGTTCCATCTAGCAAAATAAGAGTGTGCTTCTGAGCACCTCCTGGGGCCCTTCCTTGTCGTGGCTGACTGATGAACTGGAATCTAAATCAACTTTGAAGGGGAAATGGTGTTAGGGCCCCTGCTCAGGCCTTGGCCTGGTCCTCTGACTGAGATGTACTCACATCCCTTGGCAGGTCACGACGAAATCCATCAGCGAGTTGTCAGGCTGTGGCGCGGGCACCAGAACGTCCGTCATCTGGATGATGTTGACCGCCAGAATTCCGTCTAACAAAACACCCCCCACAGAAAAACACATCAAAACACAGAAGAAACCAGACCCAACCGTTCCTTAATAAATCAGAAAGCCACACCGAACAGAGACACGGTGTTCTTGCCACGCCAGAATCACACCAGATCTGGGAGTCTACCCCGTAACATGGATACGTGTCTACGCAGCACTTTCAAAGTCAAACTGAATTACTCCTCATTCCAACCTGGCTCTTCGTTTCTGGAGCTTGTCTATGTGTTAGAAGGCTGCATTCCTTCTGGACAGGAATTTCAGAGAAAGGGACCCCCCCCCCCGGGGGAAGATGCAGCCCTTGGGCTCAGGGGGTGCCGGCTTCTCTCAGCCCCAGGGTGCACAGCTGGGGATTTAGCCCCATCTCCAGAACCGGGGTGCCTCGGCTGGGCTTCGGGCCCCACCTGTCTTCTCTGGGGTGCCTGTGGGCAGTGCCCACAACACACAGCCATCTGTGGTAGCCCTGTTCATCCCTCTTTCTTACACACTAGACGTGGGACTTTGTGAAATCAGAGGAAGGAAGTGGCAATTGTGGGAACTTGCTACTGGCCTTGTTCAAGGCACATTCATTCAGATTTCTGGAAGGCACAGGGTGGGGGGTCTAGGCCCGGGGCAGGCTCAGCAGTAGGTGGGCCTCACACTGGGCTCATCTCCACCAGAATGTCTAAGGAAGGCTGGGGTAGGCCAGTCGGAATCTAGAAACGTGTTTGCTTGTGCCCACGCGGTATGACGTTGAACAGAGAGTAGGGGCCCCTGCCCCCACCCCTCCAGAGTCAAGAGGCTGAGAGGGTGGCCCGGGGTAGATCCTAACATCCTTCCCCTGCTGCTCCTACCTACAATCGTGATGGTGGCTCTAAAGTAACCGTATCTGTTAATGTGGCAGGTTTCATCAGGAGTCTCCCTCAGCTCCAGGGGGTTGTCACCGGCTGCTGCTGGAGAGTTGGGATAATAACATTTAGATGAGTTGCTGAGAATGCAGAAGATGTACGTAATACATGATAACCCAAAATCTAAACATCTCCTTGCCCTTTAGAAAAACGTCAAGAGTCCTACACTATTAAGTTACTGCAGAAATTTGAACTAAATATGTAATGATGCACAGAGATGTGAGAACTAGGAGGTGTTATAATTATTAAACTATGTAAGTGGGGCGCCTGGGTGGCTCAGATGGTTAAGCGTCTGCCTTCGGCTCAGGTCATGATCTCAGGGTCCTGGGATCGAGTCCCGCATCAGGCTCCCTGCTCCTTGGGAGCCTGCTTCTCCCTCTGCCTTTCTCTCTCGCTCTGTCTCTCGTGAATTAAAAAAAAAACAAAAAAACCAAAAAAAACCTATGTAAGTGAACACAATCCTGTATCTTCTTTAAACATGGGAATCAAATGAAAGGGAGAAACCAAAGTAAAATGTGTGATACAACAATCATGAAGAAATCAAGCAGGCCGTGATAGATAAAATCATATTTTAGGGGCGCCTGGGTAGCTCAGTTGGTTAAGCATCTGGTTTTGGTTCAGGTCGTGATCCGAGCCCCTTGCATGCTCATGCACACGCTCTCTCTCTCTCTCTCTCTCCCTCTCGCTCACGTGCTCTCTCTCTCACAAATAAATAAAATCTTTAAAAAAATAGACTAATGTTAAATAAACCAACATTAATCCCTTTACCATTTAGGAATTTCTAGACAGTTCTAGATATTACAGGCATCTGCAATTTATTTTGAATTTTACACCTGGTCTCCTTATTTGTAAAGAAGACGGTTGATACTTCTAGAAAAAGAAATTCTCTTACAGAAATATCAGAATGAAGCTATATGGGGCGCCTGGGTGGCTCAGTTGGCTCAGGGGCGCCTTCAGCTCAGGTCATGATCCCAGAGTCCTGGGATCGAGCCCTACATCGGGCTCCGTGCTCAGCAGGGAGCCTGCTTATCCCGCTCCCACTGCCTGCCTGCCTACTTGTGATCTCTCTCTCTGTCAAATAAAGAAATAAAATCTTAAAATAAAAGGAAAGAATGAAGCTATATGATTAGAGTTGTTCAGTGCAGTTATATTTGTAACTGGAATTAGGATTAACCGAATCAACCATCAATAAGAGAACGGTTAAATAAATTATACATTTATACATACTATATTACTTATATACTAAGTTTATACATACTATGAAATACTATGTAGCCATTGAATAAAGTGAGTTAAATTTTATGTACTGACAAGGGAAAGATGTCCATGATGTTTGTTAAGAAAAGCAAATTATAGAACCATATATACAGCATGAGCCCATTTACTTAAAAATCAAAACAACAACACCTATATATATTTATACAGTTTGTAAAGGCATAGAAAAAGATCAGGAAAGAAACGCTCCCAACTATTAACAAGGTTTAACTCTTGGGAGGAGAATGTGAATAGGGACTTTTACTTTTATTCTAGGCTTCTCTATTGTTTGAATTTTTATTAAGGAACACGCATTAATTTTGTAATCTAAAACATTTCAAAAAAGAATGAATCAACATCAGTAATAACTTAGTGTCTTGATTTAGATATGCCAGATTTAATGAGATCTCATTTTGTTAATAACACACTATTATAACAATTTATTATTTCTAACGGGTTTTGGTAAAAACAAGAATTGCCCCCCAAGTCTGGACATCGTGCTGGAGTTATTTCCTCTGGGCTTGGTGATGGCGCCCTCTTGTGACCAGTGGGAGGATGTCAGTCTATTACCATCCCCTTCACATCGGGGTGCTGAGTACTCACGGCAGAGTGGGGTAGGGTGGGGCATCAGATGGAAGCTAACACTTTCCAAAGTAGACTCTTAAGAACTTCTTTTTTATTTTATTTTATTTTTTTTAAGTTATTTATTTATTTATTGAGAGGGAGAGAGAATGATAGAGAGAGAGCATGAGAGGGAGGAGGGTCAGAGGGAGAAGCAGACTCCCTGCTGAGCAGGGAGCCCGATGCAGGACTCGATCCTGGGACTCCAGGATCATGACCTTAGCCGAAGGCAGTCGCTTAACCAACTGAGCCACCAAGGCGCCCCTCTTAAGAACTTCTTAAATGGCCTCATATACTATTAGTATAGAGTGGGATTTAATTTATTATGCCTTACATCCAGAACAATCTTAATGTCTAGAAGTCTTTCCAGCTTGCTTGCCGAGAAATACTCTCAAGGTACGTTCTTTCTTGGGCCATCTGGAAACTACTTTCAAGTACGGCTGTGTTTTCGCAGGACACTAGGTGGATGTGGGCAGAGCAGGGAGGAGAATGGAAGTGGGGAGAAATGTGGGAAGGGGAAGAAAGTGGGGATGGCCTGAATGCTTATAAAGGGCCAAGGTGTGTTCTCATAATGAGAAAAAATGGGGAACAGAAATGTGATGGGGCAGACAGGGAAAGCATCTGTACACATAACGAGGCCCCGTACAAATTAGGAAGGTCAAAGAGCTGCACTCAAGTCATGAAATTCTACTTGCAAAGTGACTTTAAACATACTCTCCTTTCTTCCATATTCTAACAGCTTAAAATGGTGATAAGGTGGCTAAAGAATGACAGATCCAGAGTGGGATCACTGCAGACTCTCCATACAATCCTTTAAACTAGGGATCTAATTATGTAACCTATATTATTAGGGTTTTTTAAAAAAGATTTTATTTATTTATTTGAGAGAGAGAATGAGATAGAGAGAGAGAGCATGAGAGAGGGGAGGGTCAGAGGCAGAAGCAGACTCCCCGCCGAGCAGGGAGCCCGATGCGGGACTCGATCCCGGGACCCCAGGATCATGACCCGAGTCGAAGGCAGTTGCTTAACCAATGGAGCCACCCAGGCGCCCCCCCCCCTTTTTAGCTGTTAAGGAACCCCCCTCAAAGATCACTTGGAAAACACTTACATAAAGGAGAGGTGGGTTTCGGAGGTGTGGGCGAAGGCGAAGGACAAGGTCCAGGTACCGCAGCCTGTACAGTGAGGTTAAGGCTGAAGGTTCCATTGAGCACGTATGTGTGATTCAAAGTTGGGTTGTTGGAAACAAACAGACCAGTATTATCCCCGAAGTTCCACTTGTAGTAAATGGCCGACTCATTGAGGAAGTGACTAGGGTCGTGAATCAGGACATTGAACATAATGGGGAGGTCCCTGAGGAACGTTTCATCAGATAAATTTCGATCATTCTTCTGATACATAGTCACAAATACAGGAACGTGATCTAAAAGACATACCCCAAAATAGAAAGAACACACGATTGCTCGATTTTAAGTAGATGACTTCAATAATGCTTTTAGGTTCAAAAATTAAAACAAGGGATAATTCAGCATCATTTTCCCTTTTCCTACACAAGTTTTCTAGGGTTTTCCCAAGTTATTCTGGAAACACAGATGGAGTACAATATAATTAAATACATAAGCGAGGGAAGGAACCCATATGAATCGTTAACCTAGCCCAGAACACTTGGCTCTAACTCTTTCTTAACCCACTAACATCACCAGAACGAAGTGCCTCACCATCAGTTAACTTCGAGTTCACGCCACTCACCTGTTACCACGTACACGTCTTTCACTTTTGCGATGGGGACATATGCATGTTGGTGTCTTCTGTAAACAATTACTTCCATGAGTTGAGGGCCAAGTGTCACATTGGCTGTGTTTATAGAAACTCTTGCTGAACCCCGTCCTAATTTCTGCAAATACTGACCTTTGAGAGGATGGAAATTTTTAGTTATTGGCCACATTATGTGATCATTATAGGAAGTTGTTGTTTCTTTATGACTAGTGACTGCCCCTTAGAGAACACTCTGGAAAAAGGAAAAACAGGATGGGGATGTGGTCCTGGCCACTTCAGAAAGGAAGATGGTACTCATTTTATGTAAAACCTTATAACACAAACCCACTGTTACATAAATATAGTTCGGTTAGTTGGTTAAAAGGAAAAGAGCAGTTTAGTGGGACAATACTGCTAGTCCTTAGTTTACAAATTAAAAATGTTTATAAGTAAGAGGTCTGGCACTTGAAATACATGTGTTTCCCAGAGAAGACCCATTCAGTGCAATGGTGAGGTGTCTAAAGGAGTTAAAAAAAAATTTATCCAAAGATCTACCTTATTGTTGTAACAATATTACCATTTCAGCTATATCATTAAGCAGTTTCTTTTTTCTTCTTCTTCTTCTTTTTTTTTTTAGGAGACTAGAATCCTCCATTTTCTAATAGAATTTGTATATAAAAAAACAGTCAGTAAGTGATGAAAACGAAGTAGGGTATGGTAGGCATAAAAAGAAACGTAGTGGTTCTATAAACACATTTCTAGGACATTCTTGACTCACTCTTTTTCTTTCTCCAGCCCTAACCAAAATCTGACTGCCACTGGCTATAGCTAGTAAAAATGATTCCTAACCTTCAGGGCCCGAGGATTTTTCTAATCCTATTGAGGCGCCCAGCACAGATGTGTGATTGAAACAACACGGATGGTGAGATAGATGCTTGTGGGGATGTTTAAAGACCACGTTTATTACAAGGTCAAAGGTGTCAGAAAATTATACGAATCTTCTCAGGGATATGTGGTTTGGATTCCCCTTTACCTCGAAATGCAGAGGCAGTTCTGTTGGAGGTTGTAGGGGAAAGAGGGGTCTCTCGGGGTTAGTTATACGGGAGGAAAATGTTAGTCCTGGCATTGAGAGACCACATAAGCAACTGTCAGTTGAAGGAGAATATCAGTTAACTCTGAGACTTCAGAATATGGAAATTCAAAACAGTCTTGTTACTGGGCGCCTGGGTGGCTCAGTTGGTTAAGCGACTGCCTTCAGCTCAGGTCATGATCCTGGAGTCCCTGGATCGAGTCCCGCATCGGGCTCCCTGCTCGGCAGGGAGTCTGCTTCTCCCTCTGACCCTCCCCCCTTCATGTGCTCTCTCTCATTCTCTCTCTCTCAAATAAATAAATAAAATCTTTAAAAAAAAAAAACCAGTCTTGTTAGAACAACAGCAATTTCTGGGCTAAAAGCTGATTTTAATAGATCTCTTAACTAAAAAGAGGGCTAAAGAGAGATCGGAGTGCTAGTGAGCATACACAACTCCATGCAAATGGTCAGGTCAAAGAAATCATGACATTTGGGGTGCTGACTGACGGAGCCATGAAGGCACTGAAACAAAGGCAGCCTTCAGCCCCGATTTAACTAGATGGGCATACTATCTGCTATCTATTTTGTACTTTGTTAAACTGATGTCTATGCTTAATGTGTGTTGTTTTGATTGATTAGCGAGTTAATGGGACAAAGAAACTCTAATTTATGAAAAAAGACAAAACATTTAGAAGTTTGGACCCTGCATGGTCGGTAGCAGTTTTCAAACATTCAGAGCCAGATGGCATCTGGTGACATATTTAAGAACTTAGCAGCTTTGCTAATCATAACGTAAAGTTGCTCCTTCTAAAAATAACCGCTTCACCAATAATAAAACAAAAGTGGATACCATTTGTGTTTAAAAAAAAAGAGGGTAGGTTTTGTTAAAGGAGAATAGTGGTTAGATTATGTTATTTCTACACAATGGAATATTATGCAGTCATTAAAATAATGTACATAAAGAATTTTAATGCTATAGTCAAGTCCTCATGATATTTAACAAAAATGTGTATACATTCTAATCTTAATCAAGGAATACTAGCAAAAAAAAAAAATACCATCGTGTTAACAGTGATAATCTCTGGTGTTAATTATGGGTGACTTATTTTTCATTTGTACTTTTCTGCATTTTCTAAATTTCCTTTGAAGAGCATAAGTCTCTTCCTTAACAAATCTTTTGACAATAAAAAATTAAAGAAAAAATCAAATACCCATCTGTGTGCCACTCAAATATTCCTATTTTTCATATTACTGTTTTAGACAAAAAGAAATTGAACAGTTTTCTTTTAAAAATGAAAACTGAATTAATTTTTTCCCCTTCTTCTAATTCTTTGGTGTTCTGAAGATTTGTCAAGGCTAAACAAGATTTTCTTTTTAACTCTCACCCTCCACCCCACCTAAGGAAAGTTCACAGAGTAACTGTTGTTAAACTCTTAGTATTAGCATTCTTGATTATAGAATAAGAAAAGTGAAAAAAAGTTAAAGTTTTAAGGGCAGGTAAAGAAGCAGCTAAGGAGGTTTTGTAAAAAGTCCAACCAAGGGGCGCCTGGGTGGCTCAGTTGTTTAAGCGACTGCCTTCGGCTCAGGTCATGATCCTGGAGTTCCAGGATCGAGTCCCGCATCGGGCTCCCTGCTCAGCAAGAGGTCTGCTTCTCCCTCTGACCCTCCCCCCTCATGTGCTCTCTCTCTCATTCTCTCTCTCAAATAAATAAATAAAATCTTAAAAAAAAAAAAAAAAGTCCAACCAAGTGTGTGAAAGACGTAGACAAAATTGCATCTCTTCCATCCAGGGTGGTGAGGGAAAGGCTTTCCGTCAGGGTACACGTGGTGATGGTGTTGGTTGGGGCTATTTCCCCAGCCACCTTCCTCAGTCCAGTTGTAAACATACAGGTCAGGAGATGGACCAATATCTAAAGAGAAAAAGAAACAAGCCAGTCTTGTCATCTGGGCTCAGAATGCCCAACGCTCATCATGGAATTAAACATCTTTTCGTATTTTTCATAAATACAAATATAGTTGGGCAACTAAAACCCTAATTTTGAGAATTCATCCAGTGGTGTATATTTATGACCTGTCCATTTTCTGCCTATAGATTACATTTCAGTAAAAGTTTCATAGAAAACAATTATTCAGAAAGGTCCAATCTAGAGATACCACAGTATATTTATTTTTAATAATGGATCTCCACATCACAACTGTATTCAAACCAAACTGAGGGATGCTTTATCTGTTTACATTGATACTGCTATCTGTAGCCTTCCCCCCCCCCCTTTTTTTACCCTGAGTCATTTGGCATCAAATGACTCTCAACTCCTAAAGATTTTGGCATGTATCTCCTACAAATAAGGACATTAACTTACATAACCACAATATCATTACCACTCTTCCTATCGTCTAATCAAGGGTCACATACTATATTTGGCTATTTTGTCTCTTCAAATGATTCAGAAAAAAACAGATAGATAGAAGTAACTATGGCAAAATGTTAAAATTGTTGAGTCTAGGTAGGAGGTTTTGGTGTACTCAGTGTACCCTGATTTCAACTTTTTTGTACGTATGACATTTTTTCTTTTTAAATAGTCTTTACACCCAACGTGGGGCTCGAACTCATGACCCCAAGATCAAGAGTTAACACACACTCCCAACTGAGTCAGCCAGGTGCCCCAACATACTTCATTGTAAACAAGTCATGACCAATATCTTTTCATCTATAACAGTTCCCTCACCCTCTTGGTTTTTTTATGTCACTGACATTTTTGAAGAATCTTTTTATTTATCAATGTATTAGAGCCATTTTTATTTTTTGTTCTTAAATTGTCCCAAATAGCCAGGGGGAGTCCCTTCAAGCTGGCTTCTGTGTCCTTGTGATGTGTCCCCGTTAGTCCTTGAGTATTTACTTACTTGGACACAATAAGATGTGCCAGACTCACCTGGTACTTTCCCTGCCCTAGACCTGATAAATCAATAAGGAATGAACACACTGACAGTTTAACAGAAGTTCTAAGTCATAAAATCAGATCATAAGTGCATTTAACAGTCTTGTCACTGAAGAATCTCAGTAATTAGCTCCAAGTTTTTGAGAATGTGCAGTTCTCAAGATAATTTCCCTTGACTCATTTGTGTTCCTTTGTGCTCTTTAACATGTACAAAGAGCTTACCCGCTTTAAGGGCAAAGCAAAACCACAATATACACATCTTAGTATTAGCACCAGCTACACAACATTTGCTTAAGCAATACTTGGAAGCAAAAATTGATCTGATCAGCAAATATCTGTCAAATTGGCTCTTCTTTGAGTATCCAAAGGAATTCCAAGTAATCAAACCAAAATCTGAGAATCAACAAGGTGTTCTCTGGCTAATCAACTAGACACTAAGAAAAAGCTGAGCATGACAATATCTTGAAGAAGGTTCCAAGTGGCAGAAAGCCACCAGTTTGCTCAAGTGGGTTTGGCTAATGTTGATATAGGAACTGGATGGAGCAACACCTCCCTGTCATCCAATTTGAGGAGGGGGTGACATCGGGTGATGGCATCTTGCATTTACGTAAGTACCTGTGAGGCTTTAGGTTTATGAGATGGGTCTCTAGTAGTTAGGAGAACTAGCCTGTTCCTGTGGCATGAATAACATTCCTTACCATTTCTGCAGTTCTTCTCATAGACTATGTTGCCACTGACATCTTCCTTTTGGCATCTGGGGAATACCAGGTCTACCACAAACGTGATAGTTGAGCCCACAAGTGCTGGTGAATCACTGGTCAGAATCGCCTGCACATGGCCTCCTAGCACACAGAAAGTGCAGTTTAATGATCAATGATCTTTTTCCTTTCATTGATAAATTAATCCACCAATAAGGACCAGAGCATCCTTTTTTTTTTTTAAGTTAGCACTATGCCCACCGTGGGGCTTGAACTCATGACCCAGAGATCAAGAGTTGTGTGCTCTACCGACTGAGCCAGCGAGGTGCCCTCCCATCTTTATGCCTCTTAACAATAAATTATTTTCTGGATTCCTAACTTTTGCTTTCAGAGTACAACATTCTAGAAGGAAAAAAAAAAAGTCAGACCAATTAAAGAATTCTCTGACGATAAAGAACATTTACTTAAAATAAAAAAAAAAATCTGCTCAACTGGACTGAACAAACAAGTTTTAAAGGTTTGTATTTTTAAACTCAAAACTGATGACCAAAGGACTCATTCTTTCATGCAAATGGAAAGATACTCACTTTCTGATAAACCACACTTTTGAGGTGGTCAAAACAGCTCTAGTGTCTCAGATCTTCTGAGAGACCATTCCCATAAATAGGTTTGAGGCTAAATCTGTTTGCTCTCCAAAATCCTCCAAGAACTACAAACTTGTCAATTTCTAAGTGGATTAAAGTTGTGTGTGTGTAACTTAGAAAGTAACATTATCTTGAGATAAAGAAAGATTGCCAAATCTAAGTGCCTCCCACTTGGTAACTAGAGTTCTATCATTCACAGAAGGAACATAAGCCATGTGATCTCCAAGTCTACAATCTATGAGACTAAGATAAATAGGAAATGACAGTTGTTTGGCTTGAATATTTGATTTACCTTTCCAGCAGTTTTTCCACCTTGGGTCTTCCTTCTTCCACACTGGATACAGTTTTTCATTCCATTCATTTTCATCTGAAGACCAACCAGCCAGTTGGTTGTGCTCCCTCATATAATCAGAAGTTCTTTCATTGCTCAGCACATCATGAAATCCTATATCAATATTTGAAAAACAAATTATTTTGGCTACTCCTTTCCTCATTTAGTACTTACCTAACAGTAGTTAAAGCAACTTCTTGTTTCATAAGTTTGGAAAGTCACACTTAATATTTCCAATAAGTCGAACAAATAGGTTTTTATTTTAATGTCTACTGGAAATAGCTTAAATACAACTATTCAAACCCTCTTTATGTATTTTAAACGAGGGGCACCTGGGTGGTGCATGAGGTTAAGCATCTGACTCTTGGTTTCTGCTCAGGTCCTGATCTTAGAGTCATGAGATCGAGCCCCATGTTGGGCTCTGTGCTCAGTGCAGAGTCTGCCTGAGACTGTCTCTCTCTTTCCCTCTGCCTCCCCCTCTCCCATGCTTGCTCTCTCTCTCTGAAATAAGCAAATCTTTTTTTAAAAAATATTTTATTTAGGGGCACCTGAGTGGCTCAGTTGTTAAGCATCTGCCTTCGGCCCAGGTCATGGTCCCAGGGTCCTGGGATCGAGCCCCTCATCGGGCTCCCTGCTCAGTGGGAAGCCTGTTTCTCCCTCTCCCACTCCACCTGCTTGTGTTCCCTCTCTCGCTGTGTCTCTCTCTGTCAAATAAACAAACAAAAATCTTAAAAAAATATTTTATTTCTTTATTTGAGAGAGAGAGAGAGAGAGAGAGAGCGAGCATGCAAGCACAAGCAGGGGGACTGGCAGGCAGAGGGAGAAGCAAACTCCCCACCGGAGCAGGGAGCCTTGCCCGAAAGAAATTTGCCAATTTCTTCTTTCAGTTCTGTTCAGTTTTCACTTAATGTATTTTGAAGCTCTGTTTAGAATTGCTGAGTCTTCTTCATGAATTGATCCTCTTACCATTAGGAATTGACTTTTATCTCTGGTAATATTCCTTGTCCTGAAGAATACTTTGATAGTAATGCTTAGTGGTTAACTGGTACATCTTTTTCCATCCTATTATTTTAAATGGATATATATTTTTACATTTGAAGTGGGTTTCTTGTAGACAGTATATTGGTTGTTTTTTTTAATGTAGTCAAAAAGATGTGAATCTTCATTTGGAGTGTTTAGATAATTTACATTTACAGTATTTATTAATATTGTGGGATTTAAGTCTACCATCTTGTTATTTTTCTGTTTGTCCCATCTGTTCTTTATTCCTTTTTCTTTTCCAGTACTTTTTTGGGGTTATTATTGGAGTCTATTTTATCTCCACTTCTGGCTTATTAGCTGTATCTTTTTGTTTTGTGCAGTTGCTCCAGGGTTTATAAAATTCTTGCTCTTTTGAAATTCTTTCTAATCTCAAGTTGATGTCTTTTTACCTTGCCTGACAACTCCAATGGTCACATGGTCTCTCCTTTCTTTGAGGATTGTAGCAGATTGGTTGGCTGCCTACCTAACAGTCATTTCCAGGCTGCACCCCTACTCTTTTTTTCCCCTTATTGCAGAGTAACAGTCCAAAATTCCAAAGACTCACTTTCCTAGATTTCCTTACAGTATGGGCAGGAACAGCTGATTAGAACCTGGCCAATCAGAACTGAGAGGAAGTCTTTTGAGGGCTTTTGGGAAGTTTTCCTCCCTTCATAAATATATATATAAAAAGAACAAACTCCATTTTTGTTCACATCAGAATTGATTTTAGGGAGGGGCGTCTGGGTGGCTCAGTTGTTAAGCGTCTGCCTTCGGCTCAGGTCATGATCCCAGGGTCCTGGGATCGAGCCCCACATCGGGCTCCCTGCTCCACAGGAAGCCTGCTTCTCCCTCTCCCACTCCCCCTGCTTGTGTTCCTTCTCTCGCTGTGTCTCTGTCAAATAAATAAAATCTTTAACAACAACAAAAAAAAGAATTGATTTTGGGGATAGCAATGTAATGATGTGATGCTCAGAGCTGGGATAGCCATACTTAGCCATGAGGGCACAAATCTGAAGAAGCAGGCCAACACACCAAGGATGTCAGAGTGGAAGGATGCAAAGAAAGAGTTCTCGATGTTGTCGAGTTCTAGCTCTAGCCTTGCCCACCTCTGGACTGGTTAAGGTAAATAGTCTTCTTTTCCCTCTGCCTGCCCTGCCTGCCGCTCCCCCCTGCTTGTGCTGACAAATATTTTTAAAAAAACCTAAACATGCAATTAACATACAACTAAAACATTGTACTCATGGACATTTGTCCCAAAGAAATGGAAACTTATGGTCACCCAAAACTCTGTACATGAATGTTCATAGCAACTTTATTCATAGTAGTGCAAACTGGAACAGTCTGGATGTCTTACAATGGGTGAATGTTTAAACAAGCTGTGGTATATCCATACTGTGGAATACTACCTAGTGATAAAAAAGAACTACTGATACATGCAACACTTAAATAATGTGGAGTAAAAAAAAGCCAATGCCCCTAAATTACATACTGTAATGATTCTATTTATGATAACGTTCTTGAAGTCACAAAATTATAAGAATGGAGAGTGGATTAGTAGTTGCCAGGGCAGGAGGTGGGGTGGGAAGGGGAAGTTGGTTTGGCTATAAAAGGGTATGAAGGACCCTTGTGGGGATGGAACCATTTGGTACTTTGACTTTCAGTGTCAATATCCTGGCTGTGATATTGTGCGATAATTCTACCAGATATTACCATTGGGAGAAACTGGGAAAGCTATACAGGGGAATCTTTTTGCATTACTTCTCAAAACTGCATGTGAATCTACAATGACTTCAAAAACTTGAGTTAAAAACCAGAAAAGACACCCAAGAGTAAGCGGGTTTTAGAAGGAAAAAAGAGGTGTATTGGGGGGGGTTGTTAGAAGTGAAGGGAAACGGAGTCACACCCAGCACTGCTGTGGCTTTTCTCTCTCCATTCTAGAATCTCTGCTCCGTCCACCCACAAAGGGGGGCGGGGTAGTGGCCACGTTGTTAACTACTTTGTCAACACCTGCTCTTGTCGGTTTCACCAGGGCTATGATTGGAAAGTGGCAAGGAATCCCTTGGTGTTTGATCCAGTGGTAAATTCTACCCATTTTATTTTTTCTGGTTAGAATATTTAGTCTAGGGCAAGGTGAAGACAGGAATGGTGGATTTTGTTACGTTTTGCCTAATAGATTGGGACTCCTCTCAAACTGACAGCCAACATTTAACCTCAGGCTAATCTGTTTCACTAAGCAGAGCAAATTAGCACTGCTGGAAAGGCGGCTAGAATTAGGCACAGGGTCTCCACTGACTGTCCCTTCTCTATCCCTCCATCTCCCAGGACTGCAGGGAATCAGTCCTGGGACCTACCCTGAGGTAAGACCATTGCTACCTTGTAGGACTCCCACCCAAGCACCATCCGTTAGCTGATCTCACAAGCACCCCATTGCCCACATTATCAAATGAAGAAATGAAAGCTCAAGGGCACTAAGTGGCTTGTGGCCCAGCCCTCCAGCTGGCAGGGGACCCAAGTCTGTCCAACTGCAGGAAGGACAGTGGTTGGCTTGGGCTTTCTTCCTCTTAATTGCTGTGTTGCCTGGGGCAAGTCACTTGCCTTGTCCGTGGCTGCCTTCCTCGTCTGGCAAACATGCCCATCACAGTGCCAGCCTCCTGGCACTGTTCTGAGGCCAACGGGTCCCAGCCCTGGCCCCCTGCTGAAATCCCTGCATCTGGGCCCCCTCATCAGGTCCAGTCACAGGAGACGGAAGGACAGGGGTCTCTGGGGACCAGCATGGCCCAAGCGTCAGGACCCAGCAGGTGAAAAGCAAGACCTGGGTTCTTGGTTTCCACACCTGTTGAATGGTGGGAGGCCCATCTGCCCCACAAAGGCAGTTGTGGGGGTTACCTGTGGGATGTAAGTGCAGGAGCCGGTATAATGACTGTACATGGTGGCCACGAGGTAGATGCCGGCCCCTTCTCTACACCTATCCACCTCCCCCCCCGCCCCCGACCATGGAGTTGTCTGGTAAAATCAAGACCCTCAAACTTTTCATCCAGTGAGTATCCCTATTCGGTTGGAGGTGGAGTGGACCTTCTGGGTGATGTATAATTCACTTCTTTCTCCCACCATTGCCACCCATCCCCTGGACAGGACACATGGGCCGAAGCCCTGCTTTGCATTAGAGGAGGGTTTTGTTTGTTTTTAAAGTAGGCTCCACACCCAGCGTGGAGCTCAACATGGGGCTTGAACTCATGACCCTGAGATCAAGACCTGAGCTGAGATCAAGAGTCGGACGCTTAACCCTCTGAGCCACCCAGGTGCCCCACAAGAGGGGCTTTTTAAACAAGGATGTTCCAAACTGATCTCCAAAGAGTCTGCTTTAATCGATTGGGCATCAGTTGTTAGCAAGTCCCCAACCTCGAACGTGGGACTAGAATAGAGACCCCAGGCTTTGGCTCTTCTCTCAGTAACCTCACCCCAGTGGCAGCAAGCTCCTGCAGGCCTGTGAAAACTTCCCAACAGGACTAGCAACAGCTTCTGGGCTGGGATGACGGTCAGTGAACTGGTCTCTGGCTCTTGGGCTCTGCTTCACTGCAGCTCGGTTTACTACCAGAAACCAGACGAAGTATAGAGGGTGGCATTGCTTTGTTCTCAGGCCGGAGACCATTCTCCTCACACGTGCACCCTCCCCGTGTCTGGGAAGAGAGAAGGGGGCGATCGCAATGGGAAAAAACCCCCTACGAGAGGGGCTGCCTGGTTATCACTTTCCGAGAGCCTGAAGCCAAGAATGGAACGGGAGGCATTCTGCTGTAGTTCCAACATTCCCAGAGGTTTCCAGGAGAAAGGAGCGAGCGCGAAACCTTCCTGAGGATCTTCATGAAGTCAACCTTCCGGCGTGGCCAGCAATACTTCAGACAGCCCACCACTTTAGCTGACAAAGAATGGGTTAAAAGAGACTCGTGCACTCACGTTTGGCAGCATCAAGCGGCAATCTTGCAGCCAGAAGCAGAAATCCCAGGAAACAGTAGAGACATTCCATGCTGAATTCTCACAGACCCAGGCAATCAAGGTTTAACTTTTTAACTCCTCTGGCTCCCCCCGCTAAGAACAACAGTGCTCTTCTGGCTCGGCCCTGCCCCACTCCTTCTTTTAATTAAATACAGGGCGCCTGGGGCAGATCATGTGATGGTATTAAGCAGTCTTGCCTGATCTGGTCTCTGGAGTTCAAGCTCATACAACTCATGTGCTTCTGACTCACTCACTCTAAGCATCTATTTTCTTTTTTTTTACAGGCGCACCGTTTCGATGTTGTGATTCCACATTTCTAGTTAAAGGGATTTCCTTTCCTATGGACCCATATCCTTCACCAAATAAAATTTCAATCTCCAACCTCATTGATTATCAACTGGAGGCGGTTCCTTTACTCATCCATTCCCCCGGCTCATTTAGATGACCCGCTCTTCCTAGGGCCAACTAATGCTTGTACGTTCCCTTCCCCCCAGAGGAGACACAGCTGGGGGGGGGGGGGCAGGGCGGGCGGTGGGTAGCGCTTCAATCACTTGCAATTGGGGATTACATATATGGGTAATAGCGTATGTGATGCCTGGAGATGCTTGAAACACGCGCACAGGCCTCCAATTGCTGAGAAATGCACTTACAAGCCCATTGAGGACATCTGTGCAGTTCCATACAACTTTTGGAACAACCTGCCTAATTTCTGGTAACTGCTCTGCAAGCATTCCTGTGTTGTACCTCCCAAGGCCAATTGCATAAAACACACTGTGTGCTTATTTCATGTTACAGAAGCAGGCATTAAATGAAAAAAACAAGCTTGCCTGGAATAAATCGTTTTGGTTATAGAATGTGCAGAAAGTGTGGCAACACGAACACTTGACAACATGGGATCTTTCTCTAAGTCACAGCCACATGACCATCTTCAGTGCATATAAAAGTCCCAATTGGGGGGGGAGGGTCAAGTTTGGGGTATTAATTTATGTTTCGGTGGTGCTAACAAGGCATAGGAAGAAAGTCTGTGAAACGGCAGTCTGCCAAGCAGGTGTGGCCAGCTCCCTACCCGAGGGCCACGTGCAGCTCTTTAAAGCACATATGTAGAGAAAAAAACAGCACAGGGAAACATTCATGACAAACAAAACTTTTTTTTTTTTTTAAGATTTTATTTATTTATTTGACCGAGAGAGACACAGCGAGAGAGGGAACACACACAGGGGGAGTGGGAGAGGGAGAAGCAGGCTCCCCGCAGAGCAGGGAACCCGATGCGGGACTCGATCCCAGGACCCTGGGATCATGACCTGAGCTGAAGGCAGTCGCTTAACCAACTGAGCCACCCAGGCGCCCGACAAACAAAACTTTTCAAATTCAGATGGATAAATGAACAATGGAAGTATTTATTGTATGTAATGTGAATAATCTATATAGTTCTGTGGGTTTTTTTGTTTTTACAATCAACATGTGTAACATCATAAAGGCTTTTCAGTTTAGGGAAAAATTTTTTTTAAAGGGTTTATTTCAGAGCAAGAAAGCAGAAGTCAGAAGCAGACTTCCCGCTGAGCAGGGAGCCTGACATGGGGCTCGATCCCAGGACCCTAAGATCATGACCTGAGTTGCAGATAGACACCCAACCGACTGAGCCACTGAGGGATCCCTCAATTCTAGCTTTTATGTTTGGCCACATTATTAGCTATCTCTGTGTCCAAGTAAAGAGCGTAAGTGTCAGACTCTTCTGTTAAAAAAAAAAAAAAGTGAATAGGGAGAGAGACACAGTGATCAAGTTTTCTTTTAGGTCTTCTTCCTGCTCCTTCAAGGGCAGATGATGAGGACTTAGGACAATAGGCAAAATGGGAGGCAGCTGGATGGAGGTGAGAAAGAAACCAGAAGTTGTTCATTCCAAAACACTACACATTGGATGGAGAATCTGTGCCTTTATAATCACCAGTTGAGAGCATATAAAGTAGTTTACTCTGTAGGATTCAGATACAGGGTTATTTTGGATAAGAAATTTTCTCAAGGGTTTTTTTTTTTTAATTAAATCATACCGTGAATTAAGTTTTGTTCATTGAAAGAAGTGAGCCATCTCATTTACTTGGTATTATCAACATGATTATTCTGTTTGGAAACGATGCTGAAAAAGTCAACTTTTAAGAATGGACTAAATTGCCTCTAAGCGTCCTGGTTCCTGACAGCCCCTCATGGTGGCTGAAGTCCCGCCCTGATGGGTAGTGATTATAGCAGCCCCCAAAGGGGAATGTGGGCAGTGGCAGGCGGTAGGGAGTTACCACTTTTTTTTTTTTAAAGATTTTATTTATTTGACAGAGAGAGACAGCGAGAGAGGGAACACAAGCAGGGGGAGTGGGAGAGGGAGAAGCAGGCTTCCCGCGGAGCAGGGAGCCTGATGCGGGGCTCGATCCCAGGACCTTGGGATCATGACCTGAGCCAAAGGCAGACGCTTAACGACTGAGCCACCCAGGCGCCCCACCACTTTTAATTTTAGAAATTTCTCAGTTCAGACTGGTGTTTTTAAGCAAGATAATAAAAATTCAGGTCCTTTTCTCTTCCACTCTTACAACTGTTGTATTACCACCGTAACAAATTGCAGAAACTTGGAAGCTTAAAACAACACAGTCTATTACCTTTATTCGGGAAGTCAAAATTCTGGAATACGTCTCACTGGGTCCAAATCCAAGTGTCAGTAGGGAAGCTCTAGAAGAATCTGTTTTCTTGTATTTTCGGGCTTCTAGAGGCCTCCCCGTATTTCCTGGCTGGTTCCTAACTTGCATCCGTTGTTAAAGCCAGCAACGGCCAGTCGAGTCTTTCTCCCAGGGAATCATTTTGACACTGATTCTCCTTCCTTCCTCTCTCACTTATAAGGAATCTTATGATTACACCAAACTCACCTGGATGATCCAGATTAATTGCCTTGTGTCAGAGTCAGTTGATTAGCAACCTTATTCCATCTGCAATCTTAATCCCCCCCTTGCCATAGAACCTATTCACAAATTCCAGGGATTAGGATGTAGACATCTTTAGGGGCCGTGATTCTGCTTTATCACAGTTATACAGCGGATGACTTAACAAAAATTCTGTTTATGAAGAAGCATTTGTGATGAGAGCAGTCATGGGAAATACCTCTCAAAGATTACAAGACTTGTTGAAACAAAGGCTTTGATATTTGGCAGAGCAGAAAAACAAGAATAAACTAAAGATAAAGGAATCAGTTCAGAAAGAGAGAAAGCCCATGTGACTGCCTTGTCCTAATGTGGGCTTTTTAACATGTTATAACCAGAGTCATGGTTTTCAGATTTAAGCATTAACAAATGACTCAGAGGCTTCTGTTTTGTGTCTACTTCTTTAGTCTCTCCTGTCTGGGTGCTCTCCACATGAATAAGTAATTAAACTCTCTTATTTCCAGGTTTACTAAATTTTGAAATTATTCTTCCTCCAAAATATTTTTCCTAGCCTTTCAGGGAAAGAAGAGAAAATGAATCACCAAGTCAATGCATTCTTTTCTGGTCACTTCTGAAATCACAAAGCATCAGTGGTTGTTGTATTTTTAGCCTGATTTTCTACCTGAAGGAATTAGACACTAGATTTGGTCAAATATTTTTTTTTCTTTCTTTCTTTTTTTTTTTTTTAGAGAGGGAGGGTGTAGGGGCAGAAGGAGAGGTAGAGAGAGAATCTCAAGCAGGCTCCATGCCCAGCACAGAGCCTGGTGGGGGGCTCCATCTCATGACGCTGAGATCATGACCTGAGCCAAAATCAAGAGTTGGATTGAGCCACCCAGGTGCCCCATGCAAACAATGTGTGACATGACTCTTCTTAGGGAGTTATTGGCTCCATTTGAAATTAAAAAGAGCAGTACGTGTAGAAACATATGGGTTATCACACTTTTGAAGTCCTAGTTTCTCTGTATTTTTAGTGTGACAGGAACATAAAACGTGAAAGTTTGTTGTGTGAATGCAGAAGCAAAGATAAGTATGCTCCTTTGGTGCCCACAGAATAGTGGGACAGAGAAGGGAGAAACAGAATGGGTCTATGGAGAAAGAAAGGAAGGAGGGGCCAAAATAGAAATCTGAAAGGAAACTTGGCTTCCAGTTTTATAATTAGGGATTATCTAGAAATGGTTCAGAATACTGGACTAAGTGCATTCTGCTCATTCATTAGAGATCAGTTGTAAGCCCAGGAAAGAAGACGCTAGAACAGAAACCAAAAGGGATTTTGACTATAGAAGAAAGGCCAGAAGGCTAAAGATAGAACAGCATCTTGTATCTTGATTCTTATACCTAGATTCATTTTTTTCTCAATGAAAATTTTAAACACCTCAGATAGAATTTAATTCAACAAGCATGGGTGGCAGTCTACTTTTCTAGGCCATTACCCACCAAGGCATGAATGACAATCTGTGACCTCAAAGGAGCATATGATCTCACTGGGAGGGTAAGATATTAACCTAGAACAGGTAATAGTGTGAGATGCTATTTGAAATTTTTTATCCTAGAAACATTTAAACATCCACAAAAATGGAATGGCGTAATCAACCTCCAGATCTTCAATCACTGACCATCAGTATCTGACCAAGCTTGTCTCATTCACCCTCCTCCCCACACCATTATCTGCTGGATTATTTTAGAACCCATCTTAAATATCACTGATGTGTGGCATTTAAATTAAGTTTTGTAGATAGAGCTAAAGGAGTTCGGAGAAGACAAAGATGCAGAGAAGTATTTATGGAGAAAGTATGAGTTGACTTAGTCTTTTTTTTTTTTTTAAGATTTTATTTATTTATTTGACAGAGAGAGAGAACACAAGTAGGCAGAGTGGCAGGCAGAGGGAGAGGGAGAAGCAGGCTCCCCGCCGAGCAGGGAGCCCGATGCGGGGCTCGATTCCAGGACCCTGGATCATGACCTGAGCCGAAGGCAGCTGCTTAACCGACGGAGCCACCCAGGTGCCCCTGTATAACATTATTAACAAGATTTTTTACGTTTTTTTTTCAGCAGTCTTCGAAATCACACTTAGAGCCCGTGTGTCACTTAGCCCAGCACGTTGCAGTGCTCACTGGCCCATGGGCCGGTGGCTGGTATATGGGACAGTGCCGCTGGGGAGGGACCGGAGAAGCTTCTCCAGGGGTGAGGCATGGCCTGGGGCTTGTG